TTTTTTTATTGCGTCTGTGGCTCTGGTTCGGGCAGCTTGCAAGATCTCGGCAAATTGTTGTGGTGTGGCGTGGAATTGTCCGGACTCGGCGTCATGGGCACTGTTGGGTTTTGCCCGTAGTTCAGGTAGAACGGGGACTGCTGCGTCGTCGCTGACGTGGCGTTGTCGTATGTGAACTCGATCAGCGACAGTTGTTGCTCCCATGTTGTCGGGTCATCGCACGTGGCACGAATCAGCTGCTCCATGGTCTGGTTCGTCCGCTCCGTTTGACCGTCGGTCTCGGGGTGGTACGACGAGCTGAACTGTAGCCTAGTTCCCATAAATTGCTGGTAAACTTCGTGTCGCGGTCGCTGATTATCGCGGCTGGTATCCCGTGCAGTCGAATGATGGCTACGATGAACAGGCGAGCGGTTTCTTCGGCTGAGATCGATTTCCTGCACGCAGCGAAGTGACCCATTTTCGTCAGGCCGTCAATGACGACCATTATCGCGTCGTTACCCTCAGGGCTCGAAGCTAACCCTGTGACAAAATCCATGGTAACCTGCTGCCAGGCGCGCTCGGGCGGTGGAATCGACTGCAGTTGACACACCTTTCTTTTTCGCGAGCTCTTCATCACCTAACACGTAGGACACGACCCCAAGTGGTGCTGTACGTCGGTCAACAGCTCTGGCCAATAATAATACCGCTGCAAGTGCTTTTGCATTTTTTCTACCCCGAAGTGACCTGATGTAACCCCATCATGCGCCTCCTGCAGTAGCAGCTCCCTCAGTAGTGAATACGCTGGTACCCAGATGCGGTTGGTACCGGCTTTTACGTAATACACTCCCTTAGCTTCTGTCAGTTGCTGTAAATTTCTGGTCATAAAGGATGGATCGGTGCGATATCCTTGGGCGAATAAGCCTGTTAATAGTGGGTTGGTCTAGGCGAGTAGGATGGCGTGGAGTTGGGCGGTGGGGCGGGTAACTGCGTCAGCGATGTTCGACGCTCCCTTTTTGTACGTGATGGTGTAGTGGAAGTTGGACTCTAAGTAGTCCAACCAGCGAATCTGTCGCGGATTGAGATTCGGTTGGACGCGGAGGTACTATAGTGATCGATGGTCTATCCGTATTATAGTGATCGATGGTCGCTGAGGCGGCAGTCATGTTGGCAAGTCGTCCGGGAAAATCCCACTGTATCGCTTCAGTAACGCTGCCAGGTCAACCGGTACGTCGGCGAGCAGTTTTTGTAAATCACTCCCCTTGTCTGCTGCCTCGGCTTCCCGCATGTCAACCGCATACACGTCAGCTCCTGCCGCTACGGCGCGTTTCATCGTGATCGCGTTGACACGCACTGACGAAAACTCAGGCAAGCCCCAGCGAGGTAAGGTGATGTTGTTACTGTTCACTCGCACGGTGCAGTCACTTGTCGTCCAGTCGATTCGCGGATTGTGTCGTCGCAACCAATCACGACGGAGTAAAATGTCGGTCCCGTCGAGGGTCGTTGCGAGCATTTCCTGGCTAAATGTGAAGTTGCCCCCGCATCGGATCCGAATTTGGTCCACGTGTTCCCGTATCGCCAGTGGCGTGCCGTTGACCAGTCTTGCGTCAATCTCAGGTAAACACCTGTCTAGTGGCATTTTCAGTTTCCGTGTTGTGGCAGTGTTGATCAGGCTGTGGCTGGCTCCCCGTTCCACGAAGGTTTTAACTAAGTCTGTCCCAATCTTCCCTCTAAGCAGTATGGGGCTATCTACCGCGGTACCCTGCTTATTCGGACGGGTGTGGTCGATTGCGTGAACCGGCACAATCACTCGGTGAGGGTCGGTCGGGTCGAGCGAGCGGCGTGACCTGTAAGTAGAGGGCTAATCTGCTACTGACTCGCAACATTCCCCTGCTGCTTGGTCTGTTTCTGCTGCTCAGCTTCCCCATTTCTCTTAGCGTTTTCCAGGCATTCGCTTTTGCGGTGTCCCGGCCTGTTGCACGCGAAGCAGCGACCTTTGAACGATGCGGCAGCAGCATTCGCATATCGTGGCGTGTTCGTTCGTCCCACGAGGTAGATGTCCCAATCTGCTGCTGTTGCTGTATGACCCCGATTTCGGTCGGCGTAAGAAGTTGAGCTTCTCCGCCATAGCGAGTATGTCCTGAAATTCGGTGACGTTGCGGAGCTGGATTTCCTAGGCGATCTTGTGCTTCAGGCCGCCAATGTAGCGGTCGATGCGTTCCCCGTCGTGCATGTAGCCCACCTGCTCACACAGCACCAGGAACCCGTTGGTGTAGTCTTGGACGGAACCGAGTTGGCGCCAAGTGCGAAGCCTCTGATGCGCCGCGATCGCAGCCGCAATTGGCTCAAATCTCGCGCGCAGGCCTGCGCACCACGCATCCCTTGTGCGATACTGGGGCACTTCCACGAAATACGACGGCTACCAGGGTCCGTTTTGTCCTTCCCGTGTCTGTAGAGTCGCGTAGTCCCGTCGGCTTCGTGACGATGACGCGCCACCAATCCATGGCGGGTCCTCGCAGCAGCGACACGGCGTAGCGAATCTTCGCCGTATCCTCCAAGACGTAGTTCACGTCGAAAAACACGTTCATGGTGAATAACCACGCCTGAACGGCATGACCACCCCGTTGGCTGGGATCGAAGCAAGGCAGACGCTGCGGCTTAAGTGGCATCGGCGATGGCAGTGCTGACTCGCCGGTCGGCACCGAAATCGTGACGCGAGGTTGGCTCCTGGCCGCATTCTTCGCTCCGGGGTGTGTCGCGCTGTGGTCGTCGTCTCCGTCATTGTGGTCGTCGTCTCCGTCGTTGCGGGCGACGCCATCACTAGCCGCGCTCGAGGGTTGCCCTACTCTTCCGTGTTGCGAAGCCTGTCGTGCTGCTTGTCCTTGTGTGCCTTGTGCTTGTTGCGCCCGTGCGACGTCGTTTTGCAGCGACGTACGCTCTGCCGTCAGTGCCGCAATTTCTTCGGTGCTTTCGTGCAGCTGCTGAAGAAGTTGGTTCATGCGCTCCTGCGTGAGCGCTGTGATGTCAATGTGCTCGGGCATTTCGAAGGACGGCGGCTCAGCTTAGCTCTAGGCACAGTCGTGGCTGCACGCGTTTACGAGAGAACGTGAGCATAGCGGCTCCTAGGGGCTAAGGGGCGTGAGTCCCTTCGAGTGCAAAAATCAAAAGTTGATTTCTCTGTGTGCGGAGATGCGCGGTTCGAAAGGAAAGTGACTCTGGATACCAAGTGTTATGGGTGCAATGGAACCAGATAGCGAGGATTGCACTAGGTGTCAAACGAGTACAAAGTATGAGCGAAGGCATGAGCGAATACTTATGTGCGAACATGCAAACGGTAACGCGGTGCGTGCGAGCTAGCTAGTGCTAGGCTGGCATCGAGGTTCGGGCTAACCCCGAAGCGTAGGCCGACTCGGCGGGGCCAGCGGTGCATGGTTTAGTGAAGCAGTGCGCGCGAAGTTGGCGAAGCCCCGTTAGCAGTAACGGGCGAACAACGGCTGTTGCTGTACGCGATGTTGACAGTCGCGGTAAGGAATGTCAAGAAAATTCCTTACACAATCCCACTAAGGAATATGGAAAATTCCTTACAATAAGGTAGCATTTTAGGCACTTCCAAGCAAGCAACTTCCTAACAAGCGACTGCGACTGTTCTACGAATGTGACTCTCCAATCACAGAGCTGCTAACTCCAACGTCATTGGCTCAACGACGACCAAACTTGTTAGGAAGTCACTTGTTAGGAAGTCCGAAATGCGTTCTAAGGACGCGGCACCTGTTTTCATTTTGCCAGGATCGATCGTAGGAGGGGATCGATGTGCCGCTTATACAGTGCATTGGCGACATCGTCAATGCGTGGTATCCATTTTTCGCATGACTTCGTGAATGTACAGTACACGGGTACCCAAATTGGTGGCACCTGCAGCTCGCACGTTCGATGTGCCACGATGCACACATCGATCGTGCTTTTGGTTTGGCGGTAGAGCACATCGAGCCACAGGTGACAGCCGCGATCGATCGGCGTCGCCCACGGTCGCATGCCACAAATTCTCGAGTCGTTGCGAATGAAATTGCTGGGCGACCAACCACGCTCTGCCCTGATTGGCTGCGCGTTGCAGTGTGTTGGTGTATTCAGCCTGCCCGATCCTGCAATTTCGATCCTGGCACCTATAGCTCGATGTGTCTACCCCACTGCAAATTTTCAGTGTGGGCACATCGGTGTGCCGATCGATGTGTCAGGATCGATGTGAGGCACCGATCTTGGCAAAATGAAAACAGGTGCTGCGTCCTAACAATCGCTGAAACGAGTAAACGCTACTCAGGTTCGCCAGAAACGAGCCGCAAGTTCCGTCGCGAACCCTATGGACGCGTTGAAAGTAGACGATCGATCGTCAGTCGCGATCGCCAAGTTGCGCCAATCGATCTGCCCACTCGATTGTGGGGATCGATATATGGAGACGACCCGGCGATATTTGCACTTTTACCGCGTCCTAACAAAGTTGGCGCACTGTAGCTCTCCGCCACGCTGCTTCCAGTTGCCGCTCGCTGCTGGCAGCTCCCTCGTCCATTCCCTTCCCCTCCGCTTGCTGCGTGCAGCCCCGCTCTCTCCCACACCACTTGCACACAAGGATTCTTCGTGTCTCTCGTCTTGTTGCTTTCTCGACTTGTACTCTGCGCTTTGCTAACTGGTCCTCGTGTCTACAGCGCGAGCCACTTGCTCCTGTAGGATTCTTGCGGCCTTATCGACAAGCCCCGTGTCTTCACACGCGGAATTTCTCAACACTTGCTATCTTGAGCAGCGTGCTCGAGCCGTTTTCTCCACCGCCTCGCCGCACTTTCCTCCTCCCGCCGTCAGACCACGCGACAGCTGGCGGCGAGGGCACCTCAGCGGTGGGTCCGCAGTGCGGCGCGCGGGCGGCGAGTGAGGGAGGGGGTGCGGCAGGCGCGGGTGGCGGGATTCTCTTCGGCCGCCATGCCGCCACTCGCCCCCACCTGACGCGCATTTGAGTCGCTGTCGCCCCGCGCGTCGCCATGCACCGCTCGGGCACGTTCCCCGTCTCCACGCTCGACGGCGACGGCGACGTGAGCCCCTCCCACGACTTTCCGCGCAACTTCCCCCGCAGCCACAGCAGCGCCGTCCCCGCCGCCCTCCGCACGGCGTACGACTCGATCGACTCCGACGACCCCTTCCGCCACGCCGCCACCCCCCCCGCGTCGCTCCCGCGCCACCGTCACCACTCTCCGCGCCACGCGCACCCCCACCAGCAGCAGCAGCACGGCGCGATCGCCCCCCGCCACGTGTCGTATCAGGCCGGGCTCACCTCGTCGCTCCGCCCGCACAGCCACGGCCTGCGCGACGACGGGGGAGGGGGAGCGGCACGCTTCGCGCAGGACGCGCAGCACCAGCGCTCCCTCGCCGCGGGGCTAAGCCTTTCGCCGCACAGCCTCTCCCCCCATGGGCTCTCCCCGCACGACGGCGGGCTTGGCGGAGGCCCGTTGGGGGACTTCTTTGACGAGGGCGCGGAGGACGCGCGGGGCGGCTTACGGGGGCACGCGCAGCTGGCGGGGCGGGATGTGGGGCATCTGCACGCGGGGAGCCTGGCGCTGGACGCGGAGAGGGGGGGATTCGGGGCGCTAGGGGAAGGCGGAGGGCGGCATGAGGGCAGAGGCAGGTTGGGGGGAGGCTTGGCCATGGGGGGCTTGTTCGAAGGGGGGGCGCGCGGGGTGCAGGGGAGCGTGAGCGGAGGGGTGGGAGGGCACGGCGGCATGGGCGTGGGCGCGAGCAGGAGTGGTGTGGGCGGCGGCAGGGTGTGGGCGCGCACGCTGAGCCACCAGGCGGCGGACCTGAGCAGCAGCAGCAGCAGCAGCAGCGGGGCAGTCAGGGGGCGGCACCTGGTGGGCGCGCAATGGCTGGGCCTGGACCGCAGTGTGGGTGGCTGTGAGGGGAGTGTAGCGAGGGGCCTTTGAGTGTGGCGAGAGGATCGGAATGAGCAAGTGAAGCAAGGAGCACAAGGTTGCATGGTGGAGTGAGAGTGAGTCCGTGTGAGTGGGGCTGCGTTGGCTTGGCGCTGCTATGCTGGCACAGTGACGAGCCACCGTGTGTGCGTCCGCCCCTCACCCTGCCTCCCCTCTACCCTGTCCTCTCCCAACCCTCCCCACTCTCCCCCGCACCTCCTCCCCTGCAGTCATCAGGCTTCGATGACACCGACATTCTCGCCACCAATGCCGTGCTGCCACGTGTCAACAGCCTGACAGTGAACGGCAGTGGCCTGTTTGACTCGGACGACCTGCTGGACCTGCGCCACCCCCCCACGGGGCTGGGGGGGGGCGCCACGGGGCTGGGGGGGGGCGCCATGGGGTTGGGGCGGGATGGCGCAGGGCTGGGGGGGGCGCGGGACAGGGGCGCGGACATGGACAGTGCCTTGGGCATTGGAGGGGCGCTTGGGCTCGCCAGGCCGTATGGGCGCGAGAATGGGGGCGCGGGTGCGGGTGGCGAGGGCATCAACCTGAAGCGCGTGCTGCGGCTGGGGGAGGCGGCGCGCAGCAACGATGCGGACCTGGTGCACGCCATCCTGCAGGACGCCCCCTCCCGCCACCCGCTGCTCTCCGCCCTCCACCCCGGTGGGTCCCCCCCCCTTGTACCCCGCCACTCGCCTCAGCCGCGGCTCAACTTGTTCAATCTCTCCGCCTTGCAACGGATTCTGTCGAATGCGGCGCGGCTTGCACGCAGTTCGCTGCATAGACATTGCTCAGTGAGGCGTCAATGAGGCATCAATCCTGCGCGCCTTGCCTCCCAACGCAACCACCAACCACCGTGTCCCATGTTACACCGCCATGTGTGTCACAGCCTGTGACCAAATAACCTCACTGCGCTCTGCCCTGTTGCATTCCCCTCTCCTCTTTTTACTTCCCCCCTTCCGCACCCCCCCTGGCAGCGACGGGGCGCACGGTGCTGCATGAGGCGGTGGTGGCGGGCAGTGTGGACGCGGCGGCAGTGCTGCTCGAGTGGGGGGCCGACCCCAACGGGGGCACCGCCACTCAGGTGACATGCTCCCACTGCGCTGCTCCCACTGCGCTGCTCCCACTGCGCTGCTCCCACTGCGCTGCGCCCTCGTTCCACTGCGCCCTCGTTCCACTGCGCCCTCGTTCCACTGCACCCTGCTCTTGGTGTTTCTGTGCTGCTGTATGCGTGCCAGCATAGTGTGAACGGTGCACCCCTGTTGCATGCACGGGTGTGAAGACTGCCCACTCTGCCTCTGCCTGAGACATGCTTCCTGTGAGGGCGTCGCCCCTCCTTCCGCCCTTGTCCCAGGGCTCACAGGTGCTCACTGCATTGAATCCACTCCACTCCCATCCCTCACCCCGTCCGCCACACCCACCCCTGTCCGGCCGGCATGGGAAACAGCAGGAGGGCTTCTCGCCACCGCTGCTGTGGGCGGTGCAGGCGGGCAACGAGGAGCTGGTGCGGCTGCTGCTCACCAACGGCGCGGACATCAACGCCACCGACGCCCACCGCTGCTCCGCGCTGCACTACGCCTGCAGCACCGGCCACAGGTGTGTGTGTGGGGGCAGTGGTGCGCGGTGGGGGCAGTGGTGCGTGGTGGGGGCAGTGGTGTGCGAGGAAGACAAAAGAAATGACAATGTACGCACAGAGGAACACAGCAGCAGTGGTGCAAGCTGACGTGGTGGGGGGGGTCAGTGGGATGGGGAGACCTATGCGTGCCTTCACGTGGCCCTAGTACCCATCCCACCCTGTCTCTAAACTCATCCCACTTGTGTGCGGTCAGTGGCCCTCCTTCCTTCCTGGGTCCCCTGCTGGGGAGCAGAGCGTGCACCTCCCCACTATCCACTTCCCACCACATGCCACCTCGCCCACACCCCTCACCCCCTTCCCTTCTTTCCCCCACCTCCTTCACAGGCCTCCGTTCCCTTCACAGGCCTCCGTTCCCTTCCTGAGTGGGAATATACGCTCAAAACTGTTTGCGTTTAGCGTATACACGCTAGCGTGTACACGCTAAACGCTATACGATAGCGAATACGCTATACGCTAGCCATTTTTTTTTGGGGCAGCCCGGCCGGAAAATTTCAACATATACGGTTCGCTTCGGAATTGCACGGCGAAGACATTGGTGGTGTCGAATTGCACGTCCGCGCTATGTGCGAGCGTGGATGTGGATTGAAAGTTCGTGTCGCGAATGGAAAGTCACGTTTCTCGGGTCGCGCTTGCACGTTCCCTCACATTTTGGTGTTCACACTCAGTACCGCATTCAAACCCTTCGCATCCAACAACTCTCCAACTTCAATTGCACATCTTCCCACTCCCACAATCAACTCGCTATTTAACACCCACACCCCCAACATCTAATTCATTAGTTGTTCTCCCGCTACCAGCAGAGCGCTGGGCATTCCCTAGGCAGCAGTGCCTATGTCGACTACTACTACCTCTCCTCCAACGCCACCGTCAGTTAACACCGTTGGCAGTTCGCAGACTCTTCAAACTGGGGCACGGGAGTATCTTCCCGACGTCGACCATGCCGTCTTCAAGCACTTCCACATCATCAAGAGGGTCGAGGGAAAAGCTCAGCAGTACGACTGCAAGTTCTGCAACAACGTCTACACTGGTGCTGCCATCCGATGCGCGCAACGCTTCACGTCGTGGAAGGGGATGAAACGCCGTGAAGTGCCGTTTGCAAGGATGCGCCGCAAGATGTGCGTCTGGCTATGCGCGCGAAGTACGAGGCAGCGGCTGCCGCGGCCGAAGAGAAGAGGCGGGCTGCAGCTGATGCGGTTGCGGCGGTGAAGGCCAACAGTGGGAAGCAGGCGCGTATCACCGATTACCTAGAGGGGGATGCGGCTGCGAGAAAGAGAGAAGCGGACGAGTCAATTGCGCTTGCGTGGGCCGCCCTCCACATCCCCGAGTGCCACATTGACCATCCTCTGATGGTCAATGCATTGAACCACGTCTCGCGCGCCGGCGGCGACTACGTCCCTCCCAAAAGGAAATACGTTGGCGGTGCTGGCCTTGTCGCGTGTCGCAACGCAATCGAGCAGGGTTTGGTGGGCATTAAGGCGAGCTGGAAGAGGACGGGCGTGACGGTTTCGTCCGACATGATGACGGACAGCAACCGCAGGCCGCAGGCCAACGTGCTTCTCGTGAATGATTTCGGTGCAGTCTTCACCGACTGTGTTGACTGCAACATGGAGAAGAAAACAGGAGGGTACGTGGCGGGGATTCTTCGGCCGGTGGTGGAGGAAGAACGTTGTTGCGTTCTGCATGGACGGGGGACGAACTATGCGATGGCGGTGAAGCAACTTATACGGGAGTGGCCGCACATTCAGGAGGTGCCGTGCGCCACTCACGTATTGGATCTTCTCATGGAAGATGTGGGGAAGATGGGATGGGCTAAGCCGATTGTCGAAAAGGGGGGCGAGATCTCAAGCTTCGTCCGCAACCACCATTGGACCCGAGGGTACCTGCGGATGTCGGAATTGGTGGAGGGGATGGTTCTGCAGCGCTGAAGCAGGCTGGAACCCAATTCGGGACCAATTACATAGCCATATCCCGGCTATGTGCGATGCGCGTCACCCTTACCAGCATGGTGCTGAGCGACCTATGGAAGGAGTGGGCGGAAGGGGACAGGACGCAAACATGCGACAATTTTAGTGCGCAAATCCTTGATGCCGCCTGGTGGAAAACGACCGAGCTCTTCACTGCACTGATGAAGATGCCCTACAAGGTGATGAGGCAAATGGACGGGCATGCTGTGAGGATGATGGGGAAGCTTTACGATGTGATGCTCCAGTTGACGGAGGACGTGGGAGACTTGCTCGATGAGGACGAGGAGCAGTTGAGCAGCGCCGATAAGGCCCACATGCGCCGCATCCTAAAAAACCGTTGGGACGGCAGCCTCGCATGCGCCATGCATGTTGCTGGCCGCATCCTGAACCCCGCCAATCAGGAAGAAGACATTTTCGGCACTGATTCCGAGTGCACGAAAGTCTTCAAGGCCTTCATCAGCTAGCATGCCAAGCTCATCGCGAGCCGCGGGGATGGGGGGGATGACGCGTGTGACATCTTGCTTGCTCTGGGGGACGGGCTGAGGGCGTTCCTTGACATGAAGGGCTCTTTTGGGATGCCGGAAGCCGTGGCACAGAGGAAGCTGGTGAGAGAGGGCAAGTACAGCATGGTGAAGTGGTGGCAGTGGAATGACACTGATGCCCCCCAGCTGGCGGGGCTCGCCGTACGGGTGCTGTCGCAGCCCGTGTCAGCCCGTGTCAGCCCGTGCCCGTGCTGTCGCACGCCGAAACAGGCTCGGATCCGCCTAGTGCAGGGACTTGGTCTATGTTGCGCTCAACTGGAATGTTGTGCGCAACTGGCACACACGCGCAGATGTCTTGCCACATGTGGTGCCCGGGATTGGAGTGGAGCCTCCAATCCCGGCAGGATACAATGGGTTGGAAGGCGAGACGAAGGGAGAGGATGAGGAGGAAGGCGAAGACGACATCCTTGAAGACGAGTACGATAACTAGAGGGGGCAAAGGGGCTTAGTGTGGGCGGCTAGGCTTAAGGGGTAGTTTCTGCGTAGTGATGGTGGTGGTAAGAGTCTTAGAGAGAGGGGATGTGTCATGTGTAGGCCATGGTATATGTGTAATGTGGAAAAAAAAAGTGCTTTGAAACTTCACCCCCCAAAACCCCCCCCCCCCCCATACCCCCCCCCCTCCCCGATTTTTTTTACCCTGCCCGGGAAGTTTTTTTCCCTGCCCAAAAAAGCGTATTCCCAAAGCCGATCCTGCAGCGTATAGCGTATATACGCAATACGCGTATATTCCCACTAAGTTCCCTTCCCACCATTCTTCACTCTCGTCCTTGCTACATTCCTTCCTTGTGTCCCTCGCTCTCAAATGGTCCTTGTTATCGGATATGATGAATGCTACAGCAAGCAGAGAGCGAGGAACAACGGAATGCGAGCTAACGGGCATGTAAGCCTAGAGAGAAGGTAGAGAAGAGGGTAAGCCTTCCTCTTTCTCTCTCTCTCCTTTATCTTCGGCCCCCTTTTGTTCCATCTGCCCATCTCACCTTGCGCCCCGCCCCCACCCCACCCACCACGTGGGCGGCAGGGGGATAATAAAGCTGCTGCTGGTGGCGGGGGCCAACATGTATGCGCGCAACAGCGACGGGCTGGTGGCGCAGCAGCTCACATCATCGGAGCGCATCCGGGCGCTCTTCCGCAAGCTGCATGAGTATCACCTGCGCTCCACTGGGGGGGGGGCTCACACGGACCACACGGGCAGCAACAGCGGTGGCAGTGGCGGGGTGGGGGAGGGCGGTGGGCAGTGGGAGGCCGGCCTGGACGACACCGCCGCCTCCGCCCACAGCGGGCTGCCGGGGGCGGGGGTGGGGCAACGGGGAGGGCGGGCGGGCTCGGCGGGAGGGGCAGAGTGGGGCATCAGGTGCGCGCGGGGCGGACGCCTTTCCGCTCTCTGCGTCGGTGGCAGCGCCGCCATCACGCGCGGACTGGCTGCTGCCCAAGAATCGCACCATGAGCTTCCAGAGCCCCTCCCGTGACCCGCGCCCCTCGCACCCCTCCCCCTCCCCCTCCACGTCCATCTCGCCCCTCGCCGCGCACCCCACCTCCCTGCCCGCCCGCTCCATGTCCTTCCGCAGCCCCTCGCGCGACCGCCTGCGCCCCGCCGCCCACCACCACGCCGCACCGCCCTCGTCCTTCTCGTCCGCTGCCGCCCAGCCCACGGGGCTGCCAGCACGCACCATGAGCTTCCGCAGCCCCACTCGCAGCCACGCACTGCCCGCCCAGCGCGCGCGCAGCCCCACCCCCCCGGAGGGCCACGAGCAGCTGTTCTCGGCGGCGTGGGAGAGCGCCCGCCGCGTGGACACCACTGACAGCCCCGCCGCGTCCCCCGCCCTCTCGCCCTCGCTGCTGCCCTCCTCGCGCTCCGCTGCCTCCCCCACCCACCACGGCGCTGAGCCCGACGGTGCTGCTGGCAGGCTGGCGAGTGCAGGCGGCGTTGGGGGGGCAGGAGGGCTCAGAGGCGCGGGGGGAGGGGGAGGCATGGGCGCAGCAGGGAGGAGGGTTGGCGGCAGCCTGGGTGGGCGCGCGCTGGACGGCGCTGCTGACAGGGCGGTGGCGGCGGGGGCAGCAGGGGCAGCAGTGGGCAGGCGGCACGGGGGCAGCGGTGCGGGGGGCGAGGGCGGGGGGAGAGGGGGGGGAGGGAGGGAAGCGGGAGAGGGGCAGGGGGAGTGGGAGGGGGGCTGGTGGCTGGGCATGGCGAGGTGATGTCAGATGTGGAAGGCGGTGCAGTGCGGTTGCGGCGGGTGCGAGTACCGGGGAGCAGCAGTGTGGGCGGCATGATGAGCGACGGCGGCGGTGCGGGCGAGTCACGGCTGGGGCGCGCAGCTGGCAGGGGCGCTGGTGGCGTGGCCAGGGGGGGTGGGGGGGGAAGGGGTGGGGCGGAGGGGCGAGGGAGAGGGGCGGAGGGTGGTGGCCGGCGGGGAGGGATGGTGCGCACACAGTCTCTGAGCGCCCAGGCCATGAGTGCGGGCGATGCGGTGGAGCGCGGTGGCATGGGTGGCGAGGGAGCTGTGCGCGGTGACAGTGGCATGAAAAGCCCCTCTGGCAGCAGCCGACAGGGCGTGCAGCAGCAGCAGCGAGGGGTGGTGAGTCCGCGAGAAGAGGAGCGGCATGGCGGTGAGAAGCCCGCGAGTGATGGCGGCGGAGAGGGCTGGTCGGAGGCAGGGGGACATGCAGCACAGCCTGGGGGACATGCAGCACAGCCTGGGGGGGTGGATAGGAACAGAGCGAGGGAGAGAGAAGGCAGTGGTAAGGAGAGAGAGGGAAGTGGGAAGGAAAGGTTGGGAAGTGGGAAGGAGAGAGGGGGAAGTGGGAAGGAGAGAGGAGGCAGCAGCGGGGATATGTTGAGTGGGGAGTGTGCAGAGGGGGCGATGGCGGAGTCGTCTCAGTCTGAGAGTGACCGCGGCGAGCATGGGCGCGCGGGGCGCAGGGATGCAGCTAAGGGGGTGGGCAGGCGGGTGGTGGGGAGGGGCACGTCGCAGGAGGAGAGGCAGGGGGGGAAACCAGCGCCACCACCCACACGCTTGGGGGCTGCTGACCCGCTCACTGCTGCTGCCTCCGCTGCTGGCGGTGCTGGTGGGGCGGGTGGGAGGGGAGGGCAGGGATCAGGGGGAGTGAGGCGGGTGGGCAGCAGTGACGCGGTGGGGGAGGCATCAGCGTCGGCGTCGGCGTCGGGTGGCCCGCGCTCCCCCCTGCCGGCGCCCTCCTCGCCGCTCACGTCACCGTCTGCCACCTCACCGCCCTCCTCCCACCCCCACCTGCGCCGTCAGGCTCTGGAAGGCCGCGGCAGGCCGGGCAGTGGCAGTGGGGGAGAGGGCGGCCAGCAGCAGCAGCAGGGCAAGGTGGGGCAGAGCGAGGGGCATGGGCGGCAGAAGCAGGGGGGGGAGGGGGGGGACTGGCCGTGCAGCGACACGGAGGTGTCTCTGCGCGTTCGCCAGCAGCGCCGCCCGGGCCTGCGCCCCTCCGCCTCCCCTCCGCCGGACAGCAGTGCATCGCGCAGCAGCAGGGGAGGGGCGGGCGCAGCAGGGGCAGAGGAGGGTGCAGCAGGAGCAGGTGGGGGAGGGGGTGGGCAGCGCGTTGGTGGTGGCAGGGAGGTGGTGACGGACGACGAGAGCATGCACGCCGCCAGGGGCCCTCGCCCCGTTCCCCCCTCCCTGCGCCGCCTCGGCTCCGGTGTGGCGGGTGGTTGTGGGGAGGCTTCCGGGCGAGCGGAGGGTGCCTCGCCAGCACCAGCTGCGGGTGGAGCAGTGGCAGGGGCAGGGGCAGCTGGGAGGGGCAAAGGGGAGAGGCCTGGCAGCGCAGGAGGGAGGGCGGAGAGGCCCGGCAGTGCTGGAGGCAAGCGAGAGAGGGGTGGCAGCACAGGTGGCGCTGCTGGGCGCGCTGCTGCTCCCACTGCTGCACCCGCTGCTGCCGCGGGCGGCAGTAGTAGTGGTGGTGGCGGTGGTGCTTCTGGTGCTGCTGCCTCGAGTGCTGGCGTTGAGGGCAGTGGCCCAGCTGCTGCTGCTGCAGCTGCTGCTGCTGCTGTTGGGCGCGTCTCCGTGTTCCTCCCAAGCTGCTCATCCCGCTGCCGCCACCCCACCCGGTCGTGCACGCAAGTCAGTGAAGTTCTCGCTGCCCGCTCATGGCAACACACAGCCCAGCCACACTGCACACGCGGAGTGTTCAAGTGCAGGGAATGGGGTGGAGAGGAGTGGGAGTGGGGAGGAGGCGTGTGAGGGAGAGCAGGGAGGGGGGACGCATCAGCAGAGGGAAAGGAAGGGAGGGCCGGGGAGGCGGAGAAGAAGGGAGCAGTGCGACCGCCGCTGTCTCCGAATCCAGTGGAGAAGCATGAGGGCGGCGATGCACAGCCTGGGCATATGGAGGGGAGTGGAGACGAAGCTTCAGGTGCGAGCTCAGGGGAAGGAGCTGCTGCGTCGCCTGCTGCCCCCCAAAACATGGTCCCCTCTGCCTCTCCCAAGGTCGCTGCTCCCTATTCTCGAATCACCCCTTCCTCCTCCACCCCCTCCCCCTCCACTTCCACTGCTGCCTCTGCTCCGCATGCTGGGGAGGCGGCGTGTGGAGCAGCGTCACTCAAGTGGAAGAAGGGCGAGATGCTGGGTGAAGGTGCATATGGCAAGGTGCGTGCATATGGCAAGGTGCGTGCATATGGCAAGGTGCGTGCATATGGCAAGGTGCGTGTATATGGCAAGGTGCGTGCATATGGCAAGGTGCGTGCATATGGCAAGGTGCGTGCATATGGCAAGGTGCGTGTATATGGCAAGGTGCGTGCATATGGCAAGGTGCGTGTCTATGGCAAGGTGCGTGCCTATGGCAAGGTGCGTGCATATGGCAAGGTGCGTGTATATGGCAAGGTGCGTGCATATGGCAAGGTGCGTGTCTATGGCAAGGTGCGTGCATATGGCAAGGTGCGTGTCTATGGCAAGGTGCGTGCCTATGGCAAGGTGCGTGTATATGGCAAGGTGCGTGCAACGTGGCTGTGTGCATGCATGGGTTGGGTGAAACAAGGCAGATGTCGTTGCCCGTGTGCCAGGAGTTGCTGGATTGCTTGCCCAACAGCTCTGTCCTGTCCTCCCTTCAGATGCTCATATCTGCTCATATCTGCTCATATCTGCTCATATCTACTCATATCTGCTCATATCTACGCATATCTGCTCATCTGCTCATATCTGCTCATATCTGCTCATATCTGCTCATATCAACTGATCCGTTTTCAACAAGTGATTTATAGCGCCTCATGACCTGCTTTGGTAGGTATTGGCAAGGTTGTACTGGTGAGGGTCATTATTGACGAGGTCCTTCTTGTTCTGATTTAGCGGTGTAGATGCGTTGATGGTGTAGCCACCATGATGTGCGTGGCAGTGCACAGCCACCATGATGTGCGTGGCAGTGCACAGCCACCATGATGTGCGTGTCAGTGCACAGCCACCATGAGCTCAACTGCTTCGCCTCGCACCCCTGTCGCTACTTGGCCTCGTCAGTATTGCTCAAACTGCTCCTGGTTTGGCCCGAACCTCCGATTCGGGTGAACGAGTGGAGGGAGCAGCGGACCCAGCTTGTGGCGCGCCTGTCATGGCCAATCCAGCTCAGCGCCTCGTCGCCGCACTCGGCTCGTCAAGCCAGCTCAGCTTGGTTAAAGCTAATCTGGCGGAGTAGGGTTGTTGTCTGACCCCGCCCCTCTGGTTAATTGTGCCGACAAGCCATGTGGGTGGTGTGGTCGGACCCATGCATTCATCTGGTCTTGCATGCAATGCATGTCGAGTACTTTCGAAAGACGAGGAGGCGACATTTGCCTCCATCACGGTGGAAACACGATTGTAAAAAAAGTGAATGACACTTTGTGCCTGCGTCATCGCTTCTCTTGCTCTGCACTGCTTGCTCATCTGCCTGCCTGTATGCTCATCTGCCTGCCTGTATGCTCATGTATGCGCGTGCGTGTGTGGTGGGGTGGGCAGGTGTTCCTGGGGTTGAATGAGATGACGGGCGAGCTGATGGCGGTGAAGGAGATCAAGATGACCACGCAGGGCGACGAGAAGGCCATGCTGATCGCAGCGCTAGAGCGGGAGATAGTGCTGTACAAGAAGATGCGCCACCGCCACATCGTGGGGTACATTGACATGGAGAAGCACGAGGCCGACGGCTCCATCTACATCTTCCTTGAATTCGTCTCAGGGGGCTCCATCCACAGGTGGGCTCCATCCACAGGTGGGCTCCATCCACAGGTGGGCTCCATCCACAGGTGGGCTCCATCCACAGGTGGGCTCCATCCACAGGTGGGCTCCATCCACAGGTGGGCTCCATCCACAGGTGGGCTCCATCCACAGGTGGGCTCCATCCACAGGTGGGCGTGGGGCACAGGTGGGCGTGAGAGCGAGCACCTGTCGGACAGCAGGTGGGCTAGCTGAGCGCCATTGACTTGTTCTTTGCGAGCTGAGCGCCATTGACTTGTTCTTTGCGAGCTGAGCGGCATTGACTTGTTCTTTGCGAGCTGAGCGCCATTGACTTGTTCTTTGCGAGCTGAGCGGCATTGACTTGTTCTTTGCGAGCTGAGCGCCATTGACTTGTTCTTTGCGAGCTGAGCGCCATTGACTTGTTCTTTGCGAGCTGAGCGCCATTGACTTGTTCTTTGCGAGCTGAGCGCCATTGACTTGTTCTTTGCGAGCTGAGCGCCATTGACTTGTTCTTTGCGAGCTGAGCGCCATTGACTTGTTCTTTGCGAGCTGAGCGCCATTGACTTGTTTCTTTGCGAGCTGAGCGCCATTGACTTGTTCTTTGCGAGCTGAGCGCCATTGACTTGTTCTTTGCGAGCTGAGCGCCATTGACTTGTTCTTTGCGAGCTGAGCGCCATTGACTTGTTCTTTGCGAGCTGAGCGCCATTGACTTGTTCTTTGCGAGCTGAGCGGCATTGACTTGTTCTTTGCGAGCTGAGCGCCATTGACTTGTTCTTTGCGAGCTGAGCGCCATTGACTTGTTCTTTGCGAGCTGAGCGCCATTGACTTGTTCTTTGCGAGCTGAGCGCCATTGACTTGTTCTTTGCGAGCTGAGCGCCATTGACTTGTTCTTTGCGAGCTGAGCGCCATTGACTTGTTTCTTTGCGAGCTGAGCGCCATTGACTTGTTGTTTGCAAGCTGAGCGCCATTGACTTGTTCTTTGCGAGCTGAGCGCCATTGACTTGTTCTTTGCGAGCTGAGCGCCATTGACTTGTTCTTTGCGAGCTGAGCGCCATTGACTTGTTCTTTGCGAGCTGAGCGGCATTGACTTGTTCTTTGCGAGCTGAGCGGCATTGACTTGTTCTTTGCGAGCTGAGCGGCATTGACTTGTTCTTTGCGAGCTGAGCGGCATTGACTTGTTCTTTGCGAGCTGAGCGCCATTGACTTGTTTCTTTGCGAGCTGAGCGGCATTGACTTGTTCTTTGCGAGCTGAGCGCCATTGACTTGTTCTTTGCGAGCTGAGCGCCATTGACTTGTTCTTTGCGAGCTGAGCGCCATTGACTTGTTTCTTTGCGAGCTGAGCGCCATTGACTTGTTCTTTGCGAGCTGAGCGCCAATGACTTGTTCTTTGCGAGCTGAGCGCCATTGACTTGTTCTTTGCGAGCTGAGCGCCATTGACTTGTTCTTTGCGAGCTGAGCGCCATTGACTTGTTCTTTGCGAGCTGAGCGCCAATGACTTGTTCTTTGCGAGCTGAGCGCCATTGACTTGTTCTTTGCGAGCTGAGCGCCATTGACTTGTTCTTTGCGAGCTGAGCGCCATTGACTTGTTCTTTGCGAGCTGAGCGCCATTGACTTGTTCTTTGCGAGCTGAGCGCCATTGACTTGTTCTTTGCGAGCTGAGCGCCATTGACTTGTTCTTTGCGAGCTGAGCGCCATTGACTTGTTCTTTGCGAGCTGAGCGCCATTGACTTGTTCTTTGCGAGCTGAGCGGCATTGACTTGTTCTTTGCGAGCTGAGCGGCATTGACTTGTTCTTTGCGAGCTGAGCGGCATTGACTTGTTCTTTGCGAGCTGAGCGCCATTGACTTGTTCTTTGCGAGCTGAGCGCCATTGACTTGTTCTTTGCGAGCTGAGCGCCATTGACTTGTTCTTTGCGAGCTGAGCGCCATTGACTTGTTCTTTGCGAGCTGAGCGCCATTGACTTGTTCTTTGCGAGCTGAGCGCCATTGACTTGTTCTTTGCGAGCTGAGCGCCATTGACTTGTTCTTTGCGAGCTGAGCGCCATTGACTTGTTCTTTGCGAGCTGAGCGCCATTGACTTGTTCTTTGCGAGCTGAGCGCCATTGACTTGTTCTTTGCGAGCTGAGCGCCATTGACTTGTTCTTTGCGAGCTGAGCGCCATTGACTTGTTCTTTGCGATCTGAGCGCCATTGACTTGTTCTTTGCGAGCTGAGCGCCATTGACTTGTTCTTTGCGAGCTGAGCGCCATTGACTTGTTCTTTGCGAGCTGAGCGCCATTGACTTGTTCTTTGCGAGCTGAGCGCCATTGACTTGTTCTTTGCGAGCTGAGCGCCATTGACTTGTTCTTTGCGAGCTGAGCGCCATTGACTTGTTCTTTGCGAGCTGAGCGCCATTGACTTGTTCTTTGCGAGCTGAGCGCCATTGACTTGTTCTTTGCGAGCTGAGCGCCATTGACTTGTTCTTTGCGAGCTGAGCGGCATTGACTTTTTCTTTGCGAGCTGAGCGCCATTGACTTGTTTCTTTGCGAGCTGAGCGCCATTGACTTGTTCTTTGCGAGCTGAGCGCCATTGACTTGTTCTTTGCGAGCTGAGCGCCATTGACTTGTTCTTTGCGAGCTGAGCGCCATTGACTTGTTCTTTGCGAGCTGAGCGCCATTGACTTGTTCTTTGCGAGCTGAGCGCCATTGACTTGTTCTTTGCGAGCTGAGCGCCATTGACTTGTTCTTTGCGAGCTGAGCGCCATTGACTTGTTCTTTGCGAGCTGAGCGCCATTGACTTGTTCTTTGCGAGCTGAGCGCCATTGACTTGTTCTTTGCGAGCTGAGCGCCATTGACTTGTTCTTTGCGAGCTGAGCGCCATTGACTTGTTCTTTGCGAGCTGAGCGCCATTGACTTGTTCTTTGCGAGCTGAGCGCCATTGACTTGTTCTTTGCGAGCTGAGCGCCATTGACTTGTTCTTTGCGAGCTGAGCGCCATTGACTTGTTCTTTGCGAGCTGAGCGCCATTGACTTGTTCTTTGCGAGCTGAGCGCCATTGGCTTGTTCTTTGCGAGCTGAGCGCCATTGACTTGTTCTTTGCGAGCTGAGCGCCATTGACTTGTTCTTTGCGAGCTGAGCGGCATTGACTTGTTCTTTGCGAGCTGAGCGCCATTGACTTGTTCTTTGCGAGCTGAGCGCCAATGACTTGTTCTTTGCGAGCTGAGCGCCATTGACTTGTTCTTTGCGAGCTGAGCGCCATTGACTTGTTCTTTGCGAGCTGAGCGCCATTGACTTGTTCTTTGCGAGCTGAGCGCCATTGACTTGTTCTTTGTTGTCACCTCTTCCTTGCCTCTTCCTCTCGCTTCCTCCTCATCCCTCTCCCCTCTCCCCTCCCCTGCCCACTCGTCTCCCTCGTCCCTGCGCTGCCCTCAATCCCCCCGGCAGCATGTTGGAGAAGTTTGGGGCGTTCAGCGAGTCGCTGGTGCGCGTGTACACGCGGCAGCTGCTGCTGGGGCTGGAGTACCTGCACGCGTGCCGCATCGTGCACCGCGACATCAAGGGCGGCAATGTCCTCGTCGATCGCGACGGCGTCATCAAGCTCGCCGACTTCGGCGCCTCCAAGGTCCGTCCACAGGGGCGCCAGGGGAGGGGGGAGGGGGAGGGGGGGGAGGGTGCAAGGGGGTGTGGGAAGTTGTGGATGAGGTGTGTGTCACATGTGTTGTGCCACATGGAAGAAGCTCCTGCCAGGACCTTAGTGCCCTCTCATCACTTGCCTTCCTCTTCCAACTGCTTATTTGCCCGCCCTCCCCCCCTCGCCGCTTCCAACTGCTTTTATGCTGGCCCTCCCCCCCTCGCCGCTTCCCTTCCTGACTCTCCCACTTCCCCCACCCTCCTTGGCCGGCAGAGTTTCCACGAGGGCACGGTGGGCGAGGGGTGCAAGAGCATGCGCGGGTCCGTGTTCTGGATGGCGCCCGAGGTCATCAAGGGCGAGGGGTACGGCCGCCGCGCTGACATCTGGAGCGTTGGCTGCACCGTCATTGAGATGCTGACGGGGCGGTGAGTCACTGAGATGCTGACGGGGTGGTGTCATTGAGATGCTGACGGGGCGATGGGTTATGGAGGTGCTGACGGGGCGGTGGGTTATGGAGGTGCTGCATTCGCATGGTATGAGTATGAGAAGCGAGAGGGTGAGAGAAGCGAGAGGGTGAGAGAAGGCGCCAACCGTGCTCTCCCATTTCCACTCCCACCTCGCTCCCATCCTTCTTGTCCTCTCATCATCCTCCTGCCATCCACTGCCTCTCTCGCCTCTGCATCGCTCTCACATGTGCCCTGGCGTGGCTGTGGGGGTGTGGGCGGGGGGCGGCAGGCATCCATGGCCGGGGATGGACAACACGTGGTCGGCCATCTTCCACATCGCCAAGACCACCACCGGCCCACCCATCCCCGAGGGCGTGTCCACCGAGGCCACCGACTTCCTCACCGCCTGCTTCCAGCTCGACCCCAACCAGCGCCCCTCCGCCTCCCATGTGAGCCCTGCTGCCATGTGAGCCCTGCTGCCATGTGAGCCCTGCTGCCACTGCCTCCCTCTGCCCATCTTCTCTGATCCGCTCGTATCGCTGCAGCAAGGCTGCCTCTCTCCTCCCTGGACGCATGCCCCCATGCTGCACGCATGCCCCCATGCTGCACGCATGCCCCCATGCTGCACGCATGCCCCCATGCTGCACGCATGCCCCATGCTGCAACAGCCTCTTGCCAGTGCATGCCCCACAGCACGTCCCACTCACCTTCCGTGGCTCCTCTCTCTTTCGCAAACCCTCACATTTGCATAGCAAACACGCCACAGGCACCTCCCAGTCCCACTCACCTTCCGTGGCTCTCTCTCTCTCTCTCTCTC